CACCACCCCGCTCCCACCGCCCCGATGTTTCAGCTTCTTCCATTTCTTCCCCTCCATCACTCTTTCTGCCTGTGATTCCCCTAGTCCGTACATATCATTCCCTTCCCGTGTGACATTTCCTTCCCCGCATCCCTGTCCTCTTATCACCCTCTCCTCGTCTCGCTCCACCCTTCCACTTGTCTGACGCTTTCGTTTTCACCACTCCACGTTCCTCCCATCTTTATACCTTCCCATCTCTGATCTCTCATTCTATATCGTGTCAATTCCTGCGTCACCCATCGCATCCTCGTATCTTCTCTATCTTTCCTCAACATTCTCCGACCTCATCCTTTCGGGACAGCCCTCCCTTCCTCTTCACGGATTTCATCTTATCTCTCCCCGAGTTTTTTCTACCATCTTTCATCTTTCCGACGTTCCCCATGTCACATTCGTTTCTCATACCCCCTCTCAGTTCCTTTTTTTCATCTCCCTTCTCCACTCACCTTTTCCTCATCCTCGCACCTTTTCCTCATTCCGTACATCCTATCCCATATTGGCCTCTTCTTACTCCTATTTCATTCTCTTTCGCTTCATACCTCATTCGCTCCTTCTCACTTAGTCTTCCTCGATTCATCGCTCCCTCTGTGTCCACATGTTCATGCTTCATGCGATCCCGTTAGTTGGCGGTAGTAGCTAGTCGACTCAGTTTAGATCAAATTTTGCCTGCGTGGAACGCGCCTATCCCAGCTTTGTTTTACTCCGAGTGTTGACTTTGTCACTCTTCTTGAGATAACTACTTCGCTGTTCTCTGGTGTTGAAATAGCCCAAACCGTCCATCCGTTCCGGTTACCTCATTTCCGCAACAAACTTCACTACTCCATCGTCGCGGCCAGCCTCCCAAAGCTATCCCTCTTGCTTCCCAGCCTTGCAGCTCGAGCAAACTACGTATTCTCCAGCGCGGACCTCTCCTCTGGCGAAACTATTGTACCTCTTTGTTTTCCCGTTGATCGTCATGTCCAACCGGCCAATTTCCTTCGACTACGATGTTCACTTCCACAAATGTAAGTTCAAACTGCTATTCCATGGTGTTTTTTTATCAGCTTCCCAAAAGGTTCGCTCTATCTGCTATGTAATATTCACTGCAATACTAGTGAATTTTGAATAGACTCTTACTTGTTATTGGAAATATTCGTACTTATTACTGAAAACGTTCAAGTAAAACACATGTTTATATTTCAGTGTATAGCATTTATTTCATACACTCACAAATTAGAAGCCTCAAAAAACAAATGAAGAGCCCTTTTAGATAGTTACCCCTGAATTAATATATTTACTTTTCTGATACAAATACAATATCACAATAAATTAACACTGTAGAGTAATACATTAATATGCAACGTGAACAACTTTTGATTTCAATAGCAATTAGAACCAAACGAATGATACACGGATTTTATGTGCTGGTTGTATTACAATTTAATTAAACACTGAACGATTTGCAAGTGACGTTTTTACGTTTCCATCACAATCAATGTTGCTATCATATCATTTAACGTTCCATTTTAACGTGACTACTTATTCAACCATCTCCCAAACGCTCAACAAGTGCTTAAAATAGCTTCATCGTTAACACCACGAGTGATTTAGAAATTGTCGCGAAGCGAGGAGGGGATTTATCTGAGAATTTCCAAAGCACTAGTGGTATTTAATAGGACTATTCCACGTGAGAAATTATGTCCAAAAGAGTTCCAAAATTTGCCAAATATTGAAAATAACTGAAAGGTATATTAAAATCAAGTTGGTTTTGTTATAGTTCATACGCAGTTTCTTGAACATCGACATAGCGATCGATGTCGACCTCCTAAGATAGAAGAGTCACAGTTTATGATTGGCCAGGAGGACGAAGCGGTAAGAAAAATTGGATAGAAAAAGCAATAAATCTTTTATTATTTACCCTCCTGATTCGGGCATTTCGTCTGTATAGTTAACCACTATTGGTTTTAATTTCAGGAGGGGAATAGTCGTATTAATTTTCCAGATCCATTTCTGCTCCGTTCGTGCCACATGATAATTATCTTTATATATAGAATAAGTCCATCTACTTCCCCTCACTAAATCCCCACATTCACTCCTCGTCCCACTATCTCCCACACGCTTCTCCCCCGCTCCCCACCACACTCACCCATCACCCCCTCCACGCACCGCCCTGTCCCTATGTCGTCTGGCCTTCCCGCATTCCTGGATCCCGACGACCGAATCGCGCATAGCGCAGTTAATGCGGCGATTGTGCATCTCTTTAAACGGATTTGAAAGTGGATTAAACAAAATACGGACCGCCCAGACCGAGCCTAATGAAGCCTGCGTTGCGCTTCTATACACCGGGCATTCCGCACGTGATTGATTGATTAATTAGTGATTCCCGACGCGTGAACTGCTGAAATCGTCAGTCCTGCAAGTGTAGTGCATGCATTTTCCTCGGCAGATGGTGGCGGTAAACTTCCGCTGAATTATGAAATCCGTTGCCCACCTACCTGATGGCTAGCGATGTTTCCCACAACCAGGTTTCTCCTACAGTATGGCACCACCCAAGCTGGGACAAGCTGTAAGCTCCCGTCCGGGCTCCCGGCATATGTGGTAGTATAGTGCATGCAATTATGTGCGTTAGTAAAGGGTGAGGATAGAAGGAAGAGGAAGGAAATATCGCGCGCGGTCCGTGGCCCGTTTATTAGGGTCTTGCTTCGTCACTGGCCCTATCCCTTTGTCGTCCGGCCTTTCAGCATTCCGCAACCACGACCGAATCGCGCATTGCGCAGTTAATGCGGCGATTGTTCGGCTCTTTGAACAGATTTGAAAGTGGATTAAACAAAATGCGGACCGCCCGGACCGAGCGTAATGAAGTCTGCGTTGCGGATATAAACGTCGGGCATTCAGAGCACGATTGATAAATTAATTAGTGATTCCAGGCGCGCCAACTGCTAAGATCGATAGTCCCGCAAGTGTAGTGCATGCATTTTCCTCGACAGATGGTCGCCGATGGTCTGCCGATGATTAACCCCTGCTGGATGGTGAGATCCTACAAGAGGGCACCGCCCAAGCTGGGACAAGCTCCAAGCTCCCGCCATGTGTTGTAGTGTAGTGCATGCAATTATGTACGTTACGGGTGAGAATGGGACAAGGAAGAGGAAGGAAAGATTGCGCGCGGTCCGTGACCCGTTTATTAGAGCCCTGCTTCCGCACTCGCCCTGCCTCTTTGTCGTCCGGCCTTTCAGCATTCCGCAACCACGACCGAATCGCGCATTGGCAGTTAATGCGGCGATTGTTCGGCTCTTTGAACAGATTTGAAAGTGGATTAAACAAAATACGGACCGCCCGGACCGAGCGTAATGAAGTCTGCGTTGCGCCTGTATACGCGGGTTATTCCGCGCGCGATAGTTCTCCGTGCGTCCGTTGAGTGCGCGCGCGCTCCTGCTTTCCATACAGCGTGGTTTCCCTACCCGCGTGGGCGGGCAGGTTGACCGATGCCTTGCAGCCTTGGTGAGTGGTGCGTGGCGGTGAGAGAGCTGTAATGAATTCTACGAAACGCGGTCGGATTTTTGTGTTGTAGACGCGAAATGAGCTTGTAGTTAAGGGTTCGGGTCCGCTGGTAGGAATTGTTTGCAATGCATTTCTATGCAAGAGTAAATATTACGTTCATCGTACTGGTTCTCTGTTCTCCGTGTATTTCGTCAGTGCTTGCGTTTTCTCCGCTGGAGGTCCAGAATCACGTGGTCTGAGCAGGTCACTAATAAAGAATAGGACAACGTTTTGTGCTTCTACTCTGTCCCGATATTTCTGTTGAATGTGTGGGAATGAATATACAATAGAAGATTAGTAAAAAATTTATAGTATTATAATCAAATTCAAAATAAAATAATTAAAACTATTTGTAATAACACAACATGTCTATGGTAGTCCCAGGAATCCAAATAATGTTAATAGAAGAAATTAGAAATAGTTCCTGATGGATCCATAATATAATATTAACTAGTAGTGTGCAGCAACAAAAATATTGATGAAGAAAATCAGAAGAATGATTTTCGGAAAAGGAATGCTCATACTGCTCAGAAACATATGATGAATTACTCTCCCATAAAATTGCAATAAAATAAATATTTTATCTAAAACAGGCTTCACGAGGTCTGCAATAACATAGTGTGGTATTCATGGATGCTCAGTTTTTTAGAAACCAAGATAATCAAAAAAGTTGCTGTTCCATGGCGCATGAAGTGAATAGATTTTTAGCCTTACTATCGCATGACGTCAGCTGTGTTGTAAATAGCACATTAGAAAGCAATACACAATCAAATATTTGACTTTTTCAGTCAAAATGTAAACTATCGGTGAAAGTTACCGGGCTGGCAGGCCATGGTCTAGTTGGAGTTGAAGGGCCAAACGTTTCGTCCACGACTACGGTGTACCTCCTCAGGGCAGCAATGTAGGGTCTCAGGGCAGTAGCCAGGTTGGTGGTTGACGGGAACGAAGTCGTGGACGAAACGTTTGTGCCTGTAACGCCAACTGAAGCGCGGTCTATCAGATCGGAAACTTTCTCTGACAGTGACTCTGGCCGTGAAAGACTACGATGCTATGTAAAATCTATACTGTTTCATTGCTTTTGGATTTTTTCTAGTTCCTGAGTATGTAACGTATCCATGGAATCTGATGTGGCTGAAGGCTGCATACGTTTCTTTCTATTACACGCATTGGGAATGAGTAATATTAATGTTAATAGTTCAGCCGTACTATGAAACGAAATCTTCGTAGTGGGTTGGTTCTAAATTTGAGTTTTGATGAGCGGATTTTCAATATCAGCAAAGCAGCTAGGTTGGACAACATTGCTAACTGAATGAGAAGTATAGTAGCTGGTTATTCTATTCCATTGTTCCGTGCTATATTCACATCAATTTCTGATATTAATGACTAGGTAATTCATCTAGGTATCTCATGTTTGGCATACAAACATACTGTAATTCTATTATCATTTGTGTACATCTTTTGGATAATTTGTTTTGGTTTGGAATATTTGAACATGTCAAAATATTATATTTATGTTTCCTTGATCCCTTTAATTGTAACTTTTGGTTACACTTTGTTAATATTTTTTAAGTCATACATTTTTATTAGACTTAGCATAGTATTTAACTTCTATTAAAAAATTAATGAATTACTTTCAATTTTCTTTTTGTTGTCATCTAAGCTTTCTTTAAAATAAAACGATTGATAATTGGTTTTTCAAATAAACGAGTGCACTAATATTCATAGTGTAACGAAAATTGCATTCACTCTTGCTGGGACAAGATTTAAGCTCCCGGCATGGATGGTTGTGAAGTGCATATAAGTGTAAGAGGTGAGGATCGCACAAGGAAGAAAATATCTCTCGCGGTTCGTGGATCGTTTGTTAGGATACTGCTCTCGTATTCCTCTAGTATTAGTCGCAGGACCAACAAAAAACTACCGATTAGAACAGCCGGCCGCTAGAATTCCCATACAGACTCCAACCTAGCTATCTACCTAGAGTCGAAATACTGCCACTGTCGGGGCTCGAACCTTAGGACCTCCTGTTCATATTCGATGCAGAGACGGCGGATAAACTGGCTCTCAGATGAAATCAAGTCGATACATGATCGTCGAGACATTTTTTGTAGATATAGTGTGTCCGTAATTGTTATAGAAATATACAATTTTAACAACCTATCTGAATATGATGAGTTAGAGCTCTTCTTGCCTTTAACATCAACTAGTAGCTCGAAGAAGAAAAATCACCTAGTGAGCGTGATTTCATGAATTTCATAGTCAGTAGGCTAATGAAGTATAGAGAACACGGAATTTATTACTTTTCGAAGAGCACAGCCAAAAACGCAAGTTTTTCATATTTGATTGGAATTTGTTGGGATTTATGCACATAGTGGGGATGTTTGGGTTGAAAATGTTCTTTGAATAGTTTATATGCTGAGATGTTTTTACTTTTTATATTATAAAAATATAATACTATTTACATAATGAGGAAACAAAATATCTTATTTAATATTGGGGTTCAGGGAGGATTATTCTGTGGTATACATATAGTTTTTGAAGGTAAAGTAGAGAAATATTAACTGAAAATCTGTCAAATTCAAAATAAAGAGAAGCATTGTATTTATAATAATAAAAAACCTTGCAAAACGGGCATTCTTTCCCTGACACTGTAAATGATAATGAACTTGAGTTACATTCAAGGGATTTTCAATTAGATACTGTGTGCTTTCTTTTACCTTGCAGATAACACATGTCTTACTTTAGTTTTATTCCGTAGTATCGTGTCATTGTTCTTTGTGACCTAATTTACTTTCTCAAAGATTGAATACATTTAATTTTTCGTAGTACTGTACTCAATCAATACGCCACCAATACGACGTCACATCTCTTACATAAAGTACTCAACTTACCTACACCACTCTGATTAGTAGAGAAACGGATTTCCATGTAAGTACATACAAGTATATTTACAGGAGCAAGATAGCTGCATTCAAAAATATTTTTTAGAGTTTAGAGGACATTGTGAATGAAATAGAACTATTTTTATTTTACATATTCTAAATATTTTGGTATAATTACATATTTTTACATATTTTACCTATTATTACATATTTCGTGTCATTTTAATACATTTATACGTCAAAGCTGAACATTTCAGATGTGAGGTCGGAATACACCGTGGTACTGGAATCATCTTTATTACGAAGTAATGCAATGCTCATCTATGACCACTGGTTCTTCTTCATGAATTATCAAACCTATTCCTCTCCTCTCCTCTTGAAAGTCGCGTTCTCGGGTTCGAAGATGAGCAGATAAACATGTGAAGCGGAAGTAATGCCAACCTCATTTTTGCTCATATTTATCATGCGTAACGCAATAAAAACGCATAGATCCCATGCGTAACGCAATAAAAAACGAAATACGAGTAATATTCTTAGTTCATTGTCTTGTCGCATTGTTGGAATAGGTCGGGTGGGGGTTCCCCCCACCTCAGAGATCCATCTTTGACACGACGACACTACACTAATCACGAACCTATTTGATATGGTGAAAGAAACTACTGTACCATTATTTCTGTAGAGGAAGAACTTTCTTTAATTCTCTCCGAATCCATGATAATACCGATCGACCACGTTCTGTGCTAGTAAAATGCTTAAATAGAAGAATTTTAAACTCTATAATATTTAATTTACATATTTTCTATTCTTTCTGACATTTTGGAAAAAATAGAGACATATATATATATATGTACATGTTTTACCTTTTTTAACAATAAATCCTACTGATTAGTGTTTACTAAGCATTAGGTCCTGACTCAACGATGTATATTTCCTTCCTGTTTATTGATTTTCGTCCGTCTTCTCAAGTAAGCAGTTTCCACGACATCGAAACATGTGATAATCAACCTGTCATTTTCTATTCCAGGAGGCCGTGTTTATATTTGCATTCAGCTCTATTACTACTCATACAAGACGTCGACTGGAAGACGCCCGTCCGTTGACGTAAGTACATTCTTACAACCAATTGACAATTATGACTTTCTAAATATTGTATTTTGTATGTTGTATTTTTAAATGCAAACTTCCGAAATTTGTTTGTCCATGTAACACGTGCCTTAAATTTCTACCGAAAAGTATTTCTTTTCTGAACACTGAATCATTACATTATTCCGCCTCTTTTCTGTTCATAGCGTTTCTTTAAATTTTCTCTACTGCTTCTAAGATTATTCTCAGATATTTCATCAAGGATTATATATTTTTCAAGTAAATGCTTAGTTCACTGAGCGTTATAAAGGATAGAATTGTTTTAAAACTCAGCCACCTATGTGAAAGCAAAGTGTACTAATTTTGAGAGTCAACGCTGTTTCAATTCTCGATCTTTTCATCACTGACTTGATCCTGGAGCATTAATGATCTGAAAAACAAAACAAAAGAGTGTTATCAAATGGCAGAGAAGCGAACCTTCAGCTGAAAGTTTTGATAAGCATAATGCCGGCGTGTTTATGTTAGATTTTTCTCAACCATGAACGTTAAACTTTCACAAAAATTATAATATTCGAGATATCGAGTTAAGATATAAAACAAGATATCAAGTTAATAACATATCATGTAAGACATTTCGCAAACTTGGAGTTGATATCGTTCTTTCACAATTTTGTTCCATTATCGGAAATATACAGGTGCTTCAACTTAAATGTTAAAAACTTCTAGAGCATGTAATGGCTCGAAAATGCCGGCTTTTTGACAATGAAGATGTTATAGAAAGTATAATATAACGAAGTTTCATGTCACTTATGACATTTATTTGTAAGCAACTCAACGTTCACGGGCGTTCGCTGAGATATTTGGTATACCTCCCTTACTCCGGTGTAAGATTAGTTGCTTCACCAATCAGGTCTAATATCACAAGTACAACGTAGTTATGAGATTTTGCAACACGATAGTCGGAAAAATAATCTTCAATTCTGGAAAATTCTTAACAAGTTTGTTATTGATGCGCCCGAAATCGCTCATCAATCAATCAATTAATCGAAATACTTATGACAAGCATGTGAACGGAGCTTTACCGGACAAGAAACCTAAACATCTCGTGCTGCAAGCACTGCTCCCGCCGGCAGCAAACCCAGCACCCTCCACGACGCGCCGGAGCGCAGGCGGGGCCGCGGCGGGACGGGGCCAGTAGAGGGGGGCGGGGCCCGGCCAGGCGGCAGCCATACAATCTGTCCGCCTAATCGCCGGACATGTGTCATTTTGACAAACGACGCGCGCAAGCCACGCCGCCGCAGCCGGCGCCCTTTCCGCCGCCGCCGCCCCCGCCCTCGCCGCCGGGTACATCTGTCCCGGCACCCCATTAACATCTCTCGCTCCGCCCCCGCTCCCGGCCCTGCCACCGCTCCGCACCCCACGCGACGTGGAAGGCCCGGCACGGGGTGAGTCAGTATCTCCACGTGATTTCTTCTGAAACGCCCCTACCTCCAACGAATATCACGCGTACCCCACACTCCCTTAATTGTAGTTCGCTTAAATAAAATTCATGTTGTCCCAGAAAAAAGTTATACATTTCCAGGGGTGTAGAAACGTCAAAAATTATAACATTTTGCCAATGATATGATCGGAAATTTTATATAATATATTTGCAAATTGTGACATTTGCCCATGAGTTTGGCAACTTCTTATCTTACGAAGTTCACGTCTCACGCAGTCTCAAGCAGCCAAGGAGATTATTTTGCTAAATATTCTGTGAGAGCGAGGTGCACATACCGACTAACATTTACCAGTGGTCATCTATTTTTATATAATATTTATCGATATTCTTAGGAACAGAAAGAGGGTTAGTTTTCATTTCTTTATCATTTATATTAAAGGTATTGTGTGTAAAAAATATGTTTTTATATGATTTATCAATATTTTAATCCCGTAAGAGATTAATGTAAATAATTCAACAGGTATTTTGACTGAGGTGTCCTGAGAAGGGAGAACAACACCTAGATAGGGGGAGAGGGTGCACTAGCGGACTGAAAGGCCTTTAACTAAGTAAATTGTACGCCGCACCGGGCCGTGAGGTGCCCGGGGGGAGGGAAATGATGGCGCTGATTAAGAGAGGAAGTGGTGCAGGATGTGACAATTAAGAGAAATGCATTGCAATTGCTATTGTATTTATTAATACTTAATATCGATTCTACGTTGGTGGGATGACATATGACAAATGAAATATATTAATTATACTGAAATGAAATTAAATGAATGATAAATAATGGATAAATTATACGCTACTTCTATGAGAACTCATTACCGTTAAGGTGACGTCGTGAAGGTTGGTCGCACTACACGTCCATGGGCACACGGCGTTGCCGAATACCTGATGCTGGGTGGCTGCGGCATGCGTGGACCTCAGAGCTGCTCCTCTCCCGGGCGAAGCGGGAATGAAGGCGTCCCACAGTTCTCTGGTTACGGAGAGTCTGTCCCGCAGTTTGACCATGCACATGGCCCTGGGTGGGCCCTGACAGCAGGAGTGTGCCTAAGTCACACACGGTCTCTCGCCAGCAGGTGACTGACAGTGTGTGAGTAGGGTCTTCCCGTACCGCACCGTAGTACCCGCCTATGTCAGATTCACCTTGACTATATGCAGCGACAACCCGTTTAGTGGCTCCTCGTCGATGACAGAGTAGCGCACTCCATTCACCGATCTACGTGCCGAGTGCAGCGTTTTTACGTGCGCGAAGCGCAAAACATGAAATGTGATCGTGAGCGCGGAGACTGCTCAACGAAAAATGCGCTAGGCAGGCGGTGTCGCCTGTGCCTCTCGCGGTGGTTCTCGCAAGTCTGACCCGGGGACAAGTGTACGTAGGCTGCACCCGCCTGGTCGGGGTAGGCTGGCAGTCCGGGTGCGCATCTGTGGGTACGGCGGGCGCACCCTGCGGGAGCGGCCGCCTCCGGAGGGAGGGAGCGACCACCCGCCTTTGCACGAGGGCTTTGTGTAGTGGACGGAACATGAGAGTCATGTTACTTTTGGAAAGTCATAGCCAGACGTTTTTTTGCGTAGATATTTGTGGGGTATAATTAGTAGTTGTTTCGTAAAAAAAAATGTTTAAGGCTTTTTGAAAATGCGCATTGTTAATTAAATTGGTAGACAGTACACCAAGGCAGGGATTTTATTAATGGCGATACCGATAGTCCATAGCGAGTCTTGAACATCATAAATGTGTATCAGTTCAATAAGTCAAAACATTCATTATTAAAAAAAATATAGTACCATTATACTAACAATATGGATACAAAGAATTTCATCCTAGCAAACACCATCAGAGCAAGAAAGTCATGCCTTTCCCGGGTGGTTGAAGTAATATGTCTTACGCCTGTTTCATGAACGCTAAAGGGCAATGTGTTTGTGTACAAACGACGTTTCGACTATGGCACAGCTTACAACATGTAATCAGCACTGTAACTTTTACAACACCAAGCATTTTTAGAATCATGAGCGCCATAGTGCTACAATACGTTCTGTGCTAAAAGCATGTCTAGTGCATTAACATTTGTTAGTATGCATTAGCACAGTTTGTGCTAAAAGCACGCAAAAGCATTGTCAACAGAATTTAATGATATTAACACAGTACAAAATAATTCTATCGGAGTGGATTTTTTTATTCGTTCGGATGGATTATTCGTTATTATTCGAGAGTTATTTTACCAAAATTATAGAATTTTGAAAAATGAAAGCAATGTTCAGACTTAATATTTTAAAAGGTTAAATTTACGTTAACTTTTTTAATTGTAATTTATATGAATATTAAGGCCGCTAAGGGAAACAGTATGGCCGCTGATGTGCATAAAGTATGTTTGAAAAAAATATTTCATGCGTAAGATCTTGCAAAAGCGAGACCAAACACATGTGTAATGCAGCCTCATCGAACTAGTTTAACCAACTGCTTTGTTTCTGATCCTCATTGTCCGGGTGAACATTTGTGAAATACGATGGCAATTTAAAACCGACAATACCTGTCACGAAGCCAATGCTGCCCTTTCCGTTGTGGAATCTAAAATGTTGAACATTGTTTCCTCTCACGAGCGTTAAATACTATCAGGTTAATAAAGCAATGAAAATACAATGAAATATCGATGACTCATAACTGAAAGAGAAATAAAAAAGGGATTAACGAATACCGGGTGTACATGTTCGTTCGCCGAAGATTCACCCGGAGGGTCGTGAGCTCGCTTGCTTATAAAGCTCTGACTCAATTCCCGTGCGCAGACACTGCAACTATCACTGCTCTTAACGTACTACCTTAAAGAAGATGGTGAAAGTGGTGTCCTTCAACTCGAATGTATTGTTGGCACCTCCAGAATATATTCTGATTCTCTTTTCTGAGTCTGGTTTCATCTGAGTGTACACGTCAATAGACAGAACCTGAATTGGAATGCGGAAAACTCTCACCCGATCACGAAGAACCACTTCACCTCGTAAAGATTGGAGTGTGTTGTGCGTGGAGTTCCACAAGAATTATAGGACCTATTTTGTTTAACACCACAGTTAGTGCTGAAGTTTCCATAAATCAGATATTGAAATTATTCTTCGAACAATCGACACCAGAAGAAAGGCTCTCTGGTTACTTTCAAAAGGTTTTGGCTACTTCTGTCACAGCTTGTTGATACATGAAGTTTTTAAATACTGTTTATAGTGAAGATAGAATAATTAGTCTTTTGTTATGACCTTCTGTATCACTTGATTACTTTTTTCCTTGTGGCATTTTTCTTTTGGAGGTACTTGGAAGATCTGGTTTAGGCAGAAAAAGGGCATTCGGGGGAAGAGATTCAGCACTCTATTGAAGACAAAATCACAGCAGTTCCTCGAGACGTACTTCAAAGGATAAATCAGAATATATTTTAGAGGTGTCAAGAATGCCTTCGGGCCTAAGGGCCCTGCTCCCAGTATCTTCTTTAAGGTTAGTTAAGCGCAACGGTAGATCCCGCATGTCAGCATGGGAGTTGAGTCTGCGCATTGCTGGGCGA